GTTCGGACCAAGTTTGAAGCTAATCGATCGAGCTGAACTTAAATAAAACGAAATTTACTGGGTTTTTCCTCTTCTTAGCGAACACCCACTTTACTTCCGGGTTTGAAGCGAATGCCCACTACTCCTTGCAAAATATCGGCCCTCACGCAACGCCGGCAAAATCCACCACCACAAACATGTTCATATAGGACTGCCCTGAATTTCTGCTAAGTTTCCGTTATTTACAAGCTTTCTAAGTACCCTTTTTTTCGGCAAAATGTGCGCTGCGACCTCGGCCGCCTCGCGTGTACATTTCATAATGGCCGAAGGCCGCGGGTTTGCGGAAAACTTAGTCCAGTCCAATCGGCGGAAAAACCAGCCCAGTCCGATTTGGGAGTGGAAAAAACAGTCCGGTCGTTTTTAGTGCCGATTTAGAGAAACTGATTTAGCAGCCGGGACTCTATAAGCCTTGTGCACGTGGTTAGTGCAGTGGGTTTAACAGCCTGGGTTCGGTTCCAATCCTGGTAGTCAGGAAGCTCACTTACACAACCCTTTGTGTTTCAGTGGTTTCCATACTGGGAATCGTACCCAGACCATGGGAATGAGAGTGACAAATCCAAACCACTAGCCAAAGAAGTGTAGTGTGGTTGAAGTGCTCCCCATCAGATCAGTCCTACTGTTCCAGGCATTTAAGCCTTGTGGTTAGTGTGTAATGGGTTCATGAGCTGATGGCTAGGCCCACATTGACAAAGGCCTGAATCCGGTCAGCCAGGAGACTGTGCTTTTTATTTATTTCTTCATTTATAAAGCTTTACAACATTTGTGGGTGGATTGACATGTGACTATCACCTCTTCTAGATGTCAAACCTGAGACCAGACTGTAAGGCTCACTTTTAATAGGCTAGAAAGCCTTAAAGGGTTTTGGGGTGGAAAAACGTTTCCGATGGGCTAACCATTCCCAGTCTAAAATGGGAAAACGGTATTTTATGGGTTTTTAGGAAACGTTTCCGAAACCACCTCCACATTCAGCAGGGGGCCTGAAACCCTTCCTGCTAGGTTTAAAGAGAAAGGTTTCGCGAAACGATTTTACCATATGCTAATGATATGCTAAGTGTGTATCTTCTGTTATGCTCGTTTCATTTTGACTTCATACTATGTAGCCATCATTTTCTAGCCATGTCATGTCTCTCCCTACCTGAAAAAGGAATCGGCAAATGTCAGTGAAGGGTCTGGAGCACTATCATGCCTGCACTAGTACTGGCATGGGGAGGAAGAAAGTCGGTGCATGCCTGGAAATTGCCCATCCCTGTACATGGTTTGAACCACATACGGGGAAGGTCCCCTACTCTTTTTAGATTGGTGTAGTGGGTTCGCACATGGGGTGTGTCTCTCCCCAAACACGGGACCTCCATTAACGTCCTATCTGAGGGACGCCCCTAACCAAAGCTATGTACTCATTCACGCCTGAGTGAAGTGAGGAAAGTCATGTAAAGTGCCTTTCCCAAGGGCACAAGATCCTGGGACCTCTTGGGTCTGAGCCAAACATGCTACCGCTATGCCACACAACCTCAATCTACTTTTGTTTCACAAACACTGGGCAACATCATAAGAAATTTAGCGGTTTATTTTTTAGCCAACAAGAATGATCCTGATATCTCATTCAAACTGAACTGATCTGCTTAAAACTCAAAAATGGGTGCCTGTGATCCATGTGAATCACATAATTTTTTTATGGCAAAAATGTTCGCATAAATTGATCTAAATCAAAGTTTGAATTGATTTGAACATATTTTCCTGAATGTGAACAGCCCAATTTGGGATGTTTCACATGGGACTTTCTATTACTAGTAACCTCAAAGCAGATGTTTTGATGGCCACAAAAGACAGTATCAAATTAGCCAGACAGTATCCATTAGCCAAACATTGAGGGGCCAATGGATATTGTCTGGCTAATGATAGATACTGCCTGGCCAATTTGATTGAGGTTCCCGAAACATCTGCTTGGAGATTGCTTTAACTTTGGATATGTTCACTAAAGTTGGACTTTATCTTTTTTTGCTTTGCCTTTTTAGAAGATTTGACTAAAGGCAGATACATGCAATATAGTTTCTATGCCGTAGGGTAGGTGGCATGACAATAACTAATAACACATGTGTGTGCATTACTCTCGG